AATTTACAATATAGATAAATTATTTGATAGATGTGTATATAAGGTTAGTCAAGTGTATTTTATAATTTGTTTAATTAAATAAATCTAGATTAGATTAAATAGAGTATGATCTAGCAGTACATTGTATAACATTGCTTGCACATTTAATTGGCCACTAAGTTCTGTACAGTGAATTTTTTTTTTATTTAACAAGAAAGAGGCTCAATATACTTATAAGTATAACATAGCACAAAATAAAATATAAATACTAAGTATAAATGCATTATAGCCTATAAATAAATATAATATCAAAATCAATAATATTACAAAATCAATGTTCAATGATTTATAATAAATTGTTGTTTGATCAAAAGAACTAATAATGGAGAGCAAAATAGCAAGTGATGGATTCTGAAAATAATATTATTCCAGTATTTCTACTTGGATTTTGTCAGATAACTAATTGTAAGAATCTTACAAGATCTTAGGAACAAAAGTATAGCCTTCAATCTTTAAGAAGAATCCACAAATTGTAAATAGGGAATAAAAAATAAAAATTTAGTCCCTCATAAAAAGCTTGTACAATAATTCTAATAAGTTTGTTTTACAAAGTTAATATTTTTAAATACCTAGATAATTCAAATAATTTTACACGTTGAACTAAAATAATTTAATAATATTTAAATAGATAAACTTGGACTAGCCTCTTTACCATGTAAAACTTTAAATTATCCAACACGGATTCTTTTAGTTTGATAAAATACTTTAAAAAAATAAAATAAATAATAATGTATAGCATAAATAGGTACTTGTCATATCTAAATATATCTAACCTAATCTTTCAAACATGAATATACTTAATTGCATATTTATATGCACATTTACAAATATTTAATAAAATAATTTTAATCGAGTAAATAAACTATGTAGATACTGACACTGACTACTGAGAACAATAGTGGCCGTTAACAAAGTAATTAGTGTTTATATTTAACTAAAATTTCAACAGAATATATCGCAGAAGATTAAATAAAATATTTAAGAACAAATACAATTTATTGTAAATAGGTAATAAATAAATTAAGGCTGTACAATTTTTTTCTAATTATAAAATTTTAGGAATGAGTAATTATTGGTTAAGTATATTAAAATATATAATTACTTACTTAAATAAAACAATAGTCATTTAAAAATCAAAAAATTATAAAATAATCAATCAACCTTTCTAGATACTTATTTAAAAATTGAAATATATAGATAAATATATTTTATTATTTTAAATTTTTTTTACAAAATATGTTTATGTAATGAAAAAGTATGTTGAATATCATGTTGTCTATACATGTTTCAATAATTCTCTGAATGAAATTAAATTATATTCCTAGGTTTTCAACTAGTTTATCAATTAATAAATTTCCAATATTAAAACCTAGAGTTAGATTAGGTTGCATTAAGATCCTAGCAGTTTATGCATAAGAATATCTGCAAAAACAAATACAAAACTAGTTTTCAAAATATATATTTAACTAATAATCTTTTATCTTTAGTAAATACCATACTAGAAAAAATTATATTTGATTAACAAATTATTATTATTATTGGTATTTAAATAAGATCACAATTACAATATAACACTATTTATTTAATAATCTACTTCTATTTATTTATCATAAAATCAATGATAACTTGAAATATTATCGATTTTGATAATTTTAACCACTACAAAAATAAATATAAAAATCATTAACATGCAGTTCTTACAGTTTCTTTCAAAACAAACCGAACAAGTTTAACTACTACAAGTATAAAATGCTTTAACTACTTATTCAGAATTTCACAATTATTAATTAAACAAGTTGATTTTCCTTATAAATTTCCCTTAGGCTATGAATTTATCTACAGCATAATTATTATACGTCTCAACATTATTTATTTTTATTTTATCTAAGTATGTTGTGTAATAAATACAATCTACAATTAAATTTATATTACTTTAAATTATTATGTTATTTAAAATAAATATAATACTTATTCTTTACCTATAGGTAAATAAATATAAAGAAGATGGCAATTTTAAAAGGCAAAACCAGAATTTAAGATAATTATAAATAATTTGTTTAAACATTAAAATGTTTATTTTGATAACAAAATTTAAAACAATACTAGATAGCTACGATTATTTATACTAATTTTCTAATTAGTAATTTTTCAATTCAAATAATAATTTAACTTACTCTGGGTCGTTTGCTTCTTTTTCGTTGAGTCGACTTAAAATTTCTTGTGCACATAGACTAACTTTTGCAGTTTTGTTCGTATGATCAAATTTGACGATTATGTATTCGACCTAGAAAAAATACACGACGATATACGTTGCCAAAGCGAGTGTCACGATGTTAAAACAAATCGAATGTGCACTACGAATTTAAACTAGTAACCGGGGCATTGTTAATAATTACCTCGTCACCCCATTTCAGGACATCTCCTTTGCGATCCAATAGTTGATGATACAAGTTTAAAAACTGTTCAATGCCGTGCTGTCTGACGTGATCGGTTAACTGTTTCGTCTCTTCCCAAGTGAGCGGTTGCCCTTCTGTCAATAAACCCATAATTGCGAAAGGAAACAAATTTTTTTTGAAAATAAAAATTAAGCAAAAATGAAAACAGTGAGGAAACAGTCTCGATGTTCACACCGTGTGCGAGCAAATTATTTTTACAAAAAAGGTCATATGAACCGGTATTTTACTTATGTATCTTCAAAAACCCGGCAAACGAGCACAATATTAGTTTTAACACCCAACACTATCACTAATTTAAGGGAAATAGAGCGGAATATAAACAACAAACCGCCGTGTTCGGATCGTTATTGATAACTGATTACAGTATTAGTGAATAATGATGAGTGAGTAGTGTATAACGAACACTGAATCTGAATGCCTGAATTACCCGAAGTTCCAAGTTTCCGACAACGAACGGTCGGATACTCGGATACAGTCGAATGCATAGATAATATAATATTATCTATAGTCGAATGCCTATACGATCACGGGTGCTGACTACCGGACAAAATATTAACTATTATTTATGCTTATACCAGCCACTAGAGCTATCGGCACAGAACAATCTACTGGAGATGATAATAATTATTCCAATGCGTAGCTGAACCATGGTAACATAATCCCGGTTAACTGCTTATAACCATGGCTTAATGTTTATGGTCCTATTCAAATTGATACTAGCATCCACAGCAACATACCTGTGATAAATACCACAATTAGATAATAGCTAATATTTATTATATTTTTTCATCTTAGCGAATTGCGACTTATTGACTTGAGGTCTTGAGGGCTGAGGGCCTAAGGCTCTAGCACCTCTAGCTTACTATATGCTATTACAGGACTCTTAAGTTATATGATATTTAAAAAGAATTATTTAGTGTATTTTAATACAACTTAAAAGTATAAAAAATAACAGTTAAATTATAGTAGAAGAATCTAATTAACTTTTAATAATAAATTAAGCTTTTTTTTTTACAGTTTCAACCGACGACACTGCGGGAACTGCTTTCGCATTGCTTCCGCGGCGAATAATAAATTAAGCTATATTATTTAAATAGTACGCACTGCAAATTGAATTTATTTTGTACTGTCAAGTATAGTTTTAAAAAAAACAAAAAAAGGGAAATTAGGTAGTCTCTCTGCAGTACAGTAGATATCAAGTATATCTTATTGAGACTGTTGAATAAGTCACTGACATTATGTGTCAAACTTGAATTCAATTAAAAACTATTTAATAAAAAGAAAATTCTAGCGAAATAAGTCTTTCAGCCTATATTACTAGATACATTTTGTTTGTTTTATGATATTGCTATTACAATAACACATTTAACTATTAATATAATAGTAGATTGAGTTAGTGTATGCAATTTTCAATTATCTACAACCAAAATAAAAAATAGATTTTGTCAAAAATTGGTTTTTTTTAAATTTTAAGTTTTGAGCGCAGCCATGAGCCCATAAATGTGTTGATTTTACCAAAAAGAACATATAAAGTGTTTAAGTTAAAACAAATTCTTATTAATATTATCAAGATATTTTCATTTTTTCAAAACTAATTTTTTTAATGTTCTTATATAAATTAAATGTAAATGTAGAGGATTTCAAACTCCAAACCCTTTAAACGTATTCATATTCCCTAAGTAGTATTACATAAACAAAATTAATTACATAATTTTTAAACTACTGTTTCATTAACCATGTGTAAGTGTCTACTAACCTAAAACCTGTTAAAACTAATACAATATAGAATATTTTTTATGGACGTGCTCCACTTAATATATCTATAAAATTATACTTAATATTCATCTGCATATGTTTAAATAAATACTAAACAGTAATGATTTTTTGAGTACGATAATGAAATAGTCTTCCACCACCAGAATACATTTTCCTAAAGTATATGTAATATATGTATATTATACTTACATTGATATAAATTTTAATTTTTAATAATATTACCTTAGTCTTTATAATAGCTTAAGTTTAAATATTTTTTGAAGATTAGTTATAGAACCAGAAGATGTTTAAATGATGTTTGATAGAGAATTATATTAAAAACTCTTCAGTACATTATCATTTAGAGACAAAGTGACATGTTGAAAATATTTAAAAACTAAGGTTTAATAATGATCAACCAGTAAAATATTTAAGGAAAAGTAAAAAAGAAAAAGAAAGGTGATAGTTTTAAAAAAGCTTAAAAGTTTTAATGACTATTGTTATAGTCACTTTTCATTGTGTGAACAATGGAAGTAATCTTGTTTTTAAACTAATTATTAAATCATAGCTATTGACAATTCTGGAAATTAAATAACATAAAGATTGGTTAAATTTAATAATCATTCATGATATATGTTCATATTGGACTGCCGACTGTTACCATTAGACTATAATAATTTTAACTTAATATAAAGGAAATAACTCAGTATTCATTTTTTTCAATAAATTATAGTAAAATAAATAAAGCAATTTTTATCTCGATAGTATATAAATTTTATTATTAAATAATGTATAAAATTTCATATTTTACAAGATAAATAGTCTGATATGAAAACTATGAAGAAAATTTAGCTGTTGGCATTAAATGTTTTACTATAAATAATAATTTTAGGGAGATTTTGATAATACTTCAATTTTTATTACGCATATGAGGAATGAAAAAAATGTAGATTAAACTTGTATTCCAAATTTATTTCAATTAATGACCATACTTCTGGAATTCCCATTCTCTATTATCAAGTGGGCATACTTGCCGAGTTTTTAACCAACGAGATATGCAGTGAAAATGAAAAGCATGATTACACACGCCCCATGCAACTGTACATTCTTCACTAGTTGCTGATGCTTGGTTGGCTTGACATTCAATACATAAGTCCATGATGTGATTACGACAAATGGCACAATTGTCCACGACAATGTCCCAAGCCCATAAAGCAACAGCATTCCACTTCTTTACTTCAAATCTTTTTTTTTCTCCACGGCTACTAGTACTTGATGATGGAGCTTCAACATCTTCTTCGTCAACTTCCATATTTCTAATAAGTAATAAATATACAATTATTTTATTATTTTTTAAAAATACAATTAACAAAACTATAAAAATTTATATGAAGGAAAGAAATTGATAGTGAATTACACATTTTTCTAACAATTCTTTTAATCAAGAATTTAACCATGATTATCACATAATCTAAATTTTAAAAAGTTACTATGTTTACATTTCAACAAAATGTGTAACTTCTCTTAACATATTAAAAACAAATATTCAATAAACTTGATGAAATAGCCCCGTTTTTATAGTTTGGTTATTTATTAAATTGGAAAAAAAAATTGAAAAACATTCCTCAACCAAGGTTCTTAGTAAAAACATCAATTCATCTTTTCTTTTTTTTTCAATAAATATTAATATTATTGTATTTCATAAGTTAATATCTTGAATATAAAATATAAACTAAAGATAAGCAATATACACAAGAAATATTGATTGGATTATGTGGCTATTTGTTTACTTAAATTAGGAAAAATTTTTTGTAGAAATACAAAATTCTTGAAGCTTCTACTAGGCTATATGTCTACAAAATATTAACGTCAAGATCAACTATTAATCTTAAAAAAATAATTCAGTAATACATATGAGATGCTGCTTAACGCAAAGCTTTTAATTTAAATGATTAAAATCAAACTACAAAAAAAAAAACATTGCATTAACTTCAGTTCTATATTTTATTCCAAACACAAAAGAATACTTTAGGGCATGCAAACAGAACTATAAAAACACATTACACCTCATATACATGAAATATTCACACTTCATAATAGGTAACTATCATTAGCAAGTCTTAAGTGATGATCAATCATTACTGTCAGACATGCAAACACATACTAGTATACTAGTTTTTGATTATAATTCCCTTTTTATATGAAACAGTAGAGTTATAAGGAAACAACCTATCTAATATGAAACTTTGTTTCTTTAAGTTAATTAAATTGATAATATCACTTAAAAATTAGAAAGATATAAAACAACAATTACCTTTACCAAGGTAATTAGATAATCTAATATTTAACCACAATTAAAATAAATATAATTAAAATGTCCATAATTCGGATTAAAATTGTGAAGTTGATACTAATGCTATTAAAAAATTAAAAATTTAACTTACCTTCAGTCTTTAAAAATTTGAAAAGAATTCCGTACTACCTACTTGAATATTATTTTTATAAGAGATTTATTTTATAAAATCACAAGTAAAAAGACTTTAAGAGTCAGAATCTCAATATTTCTGATCCTGGACTCCTGAAGTCTGAACCAGGAACCAGGAGACAAAAAAGATTATTTTGTTTGATGATGATAATGCTAAACAAGTAATAATCCAAAGAATAAAAAGTTCCAAAACTGTACATAACCTTAAAAAATAAATTGTTAATAGTTGATATTAATTGTTCCAAGATTTTATGTAATGAGTACAATAAATTAATAATAATAATATTAGCTTGTATAAACATTAAACTATTGAAAATTTAAATTTCCTATGTAAAATAGGTAGTACATTAATAAATTATTATTATATTTTCAACAAAATTAATTTTTTTTCTTATAAATCAGTTTAAAGTAAATTATAGTAGCTGTATTATGTTCCATGAAAATAAATTCATCATTTATCAGGTTAATATTTAAATAATCACACTCCAAAGCGCCAAATAAACCAATATTTATTATTTTTTTATTTTCTTATTTCTGTTTTCTAGTCAAAAGAATGAAATATTTTGATTAAGACATACGTTAAATAATAACATATAATTATACAAATAAATTTTAAGAATTTGTTAAAAATTATTCTGATTTATGCATTGTAACGCGTCTATTGGTCGTTAAGGATATTATTATCATTTATTAATTATATTAAATAGATATTAGGTATTTTATTTTCGTAATTTTAGTTTTGTCGTTTTTCTATTTTTTAACTTTTAACATTTACAAGTATTTTCTACAGAGCAGTGGTTTAAATAAAATTTAGTTAATACATACTAAATTAAATCATGTTTATATTGTTTTTAAAAGAAAATAGTATTATTATTGGGGTAGTAGTAATGTTTATTTTGTGGTTAGTTCTTTTCAAAAGGATTGCCTGTTTTTTTGGAGGTAGGTTAATTAATTCCTAATTTTGTTATTCTATTAACATAAAATATAAATACATGATATATATTATTTTGTTTTAGAAATGTATTTCAATGTATTCATCACACAAGTTTAAGTTACCAGAAATAAATGTTTTATTACACTCATTGACTAGTGGAGTCTTTTGTTTTATCAGTGTCCCAATATGTTTTTCAACGTTTAAACCTTCTTCATCATCAAATTCGTCCTTAATGTACTGGTTATTGGATTCATTTCGCCATATGATGGATCATTGTGCAGTTACAGAATCTGTGGATCCATCAAGAAATTTTAAGTTTATCATACTCTATTCATGTTTATTACACAGCGTCTATACATCATTTACAAACAATTTTGATGAAAGACCATTATTAAGCACTTTAAAGAAAGGAGCTGTACTTAGTTTTTTTGCTTCTACTTACTGTTTTGGGTAATTGAAATTACTAATTATAGTGCCTTAGTAATATTATACTCTGAGGAATTTTAACATTGTTTTTTAGGCATTAATGTATGTGATTTAATACTACTAGTCTTTAAAATTGTGCAGCTGTATGGAAGCAGGTTTTGTATTCCTTGGACTGTCTAATTTATCGCTTGGAACATTAGAGGCTGCTAGACTTTTGAAAGTTTGTCATAACAAAACAAATAGTTTGGTAATCAAAATATTAAGCTTTGGACAGTTTGTTGTACATTGTGTTATTTGGTAAGTAAAAGAGGAAAGTCATTTATTTAATAATTAATGAGTTTGTAAGCTTTTCCTTTTACTTATTTATTAGCTATTTGTTACTTTTAAACAGGATATCAATTTATTTATTCTTGGTGCCATTTATAGTTTTATCGTCAGTTGAAGTACTAATGAAGAATAATGATAATCAGCTACCACTAATAATTATGCTATTCAGTCTTCTAATATTTTACTTAATTGAACTAAGAGATAGTGTATGTTTCATTAGATAATATCTCTAATAAGATGTGTATACTTAAATATATTTTTAATTAAATTTAATGTATTTGTTACAGCCATTAAACATGTCAACAACCAGTGGAAATGGTATATTTAGACTATTTGAATCTCCTAAAAGCTCGTAAGAACTATAATTGTTATAAACTAATTTATTGTAATATAATAATACTATAATTATTATAAATATAAATTAAATCGTTAAATATTTTATCATATTTCTGTTTAATATAAATGTGTGTAATTATTAACTTTTTTAGACTATTAGCTGCAAATAACAGTAGCCAAAAGAAACAGAAATCAAAAGAAAATTTATTGATGTTGTACCAAACTACTAAATGTAACTAAATTTATATTTTGTTTATTTAGTTAAATATGTTTCATGATTGATTTTAGATTATTCAATTAATTTTATTTTAAATCATTCTTTTTTTTTTTTTTTTATTGTTAAAAAATTAAAATAAAATAATATATTATACTCATTTAAATTAAAATTTTAATTACGTATCGTATTACAATAGGTGCTATGGCAGTAAAGAAAAAAGTTCAAAAAATTCGAAAAGATAAACTATCTACAGCTGAAATCAAATCTGAGCCCATTGAGGTGATTGAAATATTTGATGATTGAAATATGGCTAGTAACTGTTATAAGTTATATTTATTTATTATATATTTTATGTAAATTTGTAAATAATTAATAAGTTTTTTACTGATGTAATTTTAAATTTTTATAAATTAATTGATTTTACTTGATATTGTTATATATTGTGATTTGTAAAATGATTGAACAGCAACACATTTAATACATATATTTTGTTTTGGTTTATAATGTGTTTTGATTATTTTGATTTTTGTAGTCTTCCTTATTATTTTATCCAAGATTTTTCTATTGATTAAAATATGAGAGACTTCTTTTGTAAAACTAATCAGAATATTTTCTATTGTAGAAAATTAAGAATTTGATGTTATTAACTTTCATGTAATACAAAAACATGAAGTGCATATCACTTAATAATAAAATGTTTACTAATATATGAAATTTTGTAATCAATAAAGGAGTTACCTACTACTTCAGTATTTCATTTTCATGAAAATTGATATTATTTAAGTTAAATGTTTTATACATAATTATTTTTAATAAGTTAACATTTGATATTGAATATTTTTAATCTTTTATACACTACAAAGATTAAAAACACTTTTTTCTAGTTTTAAGTGGTAGTAATAGACGATAGTTTATCTGTATTAACATTAATACTTATATGATTATACTTTAATTTAATAGTTATATCTTGGTCCAAGGATTTAAGCTAGTATAATACAATTAAATTTAAAAGCAGTCATTTGATAAAATTTAAGATTTGTATTATTTTCAACCATAATTTAAATGACAAACCAAAATTTGTTTATATTTGAAATACCATTGAGCTAATGGTGTCTACTCTTACTGTTATAGATTAAATATAGGTAATAGTTAAAAATTAAGTGTTAGGTATAGTATAATATTTGATCAATGCTATATTGCTACTGTTTAATGATTTATGTTGATGGTTAATAACTTTGTCATTTATTCTCTACAATAACATTAATGTTATTGTACATTACCTATTATCTCACCCGAAAATGGATTTATTTTTTAAGCAGCAACTATTTTTTTTATACTTAATCAATATTTAAAATTTATTGAATATCTTAAGTTATTACAGAAATGATAATATATAGCTCTATACATCTGATTAAATATTAAATTACTTAACATATTTTCTTTTTAGACTAGATGTCTAGATATGATTGGGTTATACAAAATGTTATGTAAATATCACAAGTATCTGTATGAGTTAGTATCAAAGGTTTAAGTTAGGTTAGAAATTAAATAAAGACACATTCATATAACCATTTTTCATTTGAAATATTTGAATTAAAATGATCATTAACAACCGTTTTTTTTTTTTGTTATCATATTTCATTTTTTTTTCTTTGAATTATTATACATTTTTTCGAAATGTAGAAAGTGAAACTTAAAACATTGATAATTGACGATATTTTCTATGCTAAACACAGAATAATATAAATATAAATAATTATAAATTTATCTAAAATCATAAATTAAGGCTTTATAAAGGCAATAAAGGTAAAGAATATTAATAATAAATTAATGGCGGGAGATTTTATCATCCAAAATATTTGATAATGTTCAATGTTGGTTCCTTATAAGTTACTATTAAATATTAATCGGCATCTGCATTCTACAATCTAATATCTACACTACTGTAGCAGGTTAGAGTTGAAAACATTTTAGAATGTTAAAATTTATTGCTTCCAAAAAGAGCTGTATTCTTAGTTCTATACTAAATTCATATCAGTTTTAAAAAATGTAATTGTAATTTATTTTTTAGTATTCGTTTTTTTTTTAGAATAATTTCATAATTTTTTTTAAATTACTTTTTTATTATAATCGTTAGTTACCAGTCGACATGAAAAGAACTCATAGTAAAGTTCAGAAGGTATTTATGACTTAAAACACCATAAAAATATTAATTTTTATATTTATTCAAGTGCTCTTTTCAGACTCAGTCAGGTTCTAAGCAAATGAAAATCACTTCTTTATTTTCACGCATACCTTCAGAATCTTCCAAAACTATCACAGAATATAATGATAAAAATGAGTCCTGTACAACTCCTAATTCCAAATCTTTTACAAGTCCGTTATCTAGTCCAGATGTTATACCACCTTCCCCTGTGTTAAAAAAAAACAAAGTTACCAAATCAAAAAAATGTTTAAATCGTGTTTTAATTAACGACATTAAACTTAAAGAAAAAGAGGCCATTTCAAACACAGATACTGTTTCAAGTTTTCCTAAAGAAAATTTAAGTTCAACAGCAAAAAGCACAGAAAAACGTGATTTTGACAATCATGATGTGGATAGTCAACCATATTCATTTGATACAGTATCACTATCAATAGAAAGCTCAAGTACTGAATTCAGTACAGACTTTTTCTTAGACTGGTTAGTCAATAATTTTTTGGAATCTGAATAAAAATATACAATAACATTTGCAGTGGCGCTGATGTCAACTACAAATAGTATTGCATAAGTCTAAAATCTGAGATAAAAGATATCAGTTAATAACAAATTTGTCCACTAAAATATATAATAAGTTCAATTTAGGTACTTTTATTCAAATATCTATTGTATACCTATAACATACCATCCTCTGCCACATTACCATCCATATAAATTGAATATTATATCCGCAAGACTTTTACATAGTGATCGGCGCCACTGTACACTTGTAACATAATATATAGTATTATATTTAAAAAAATATATTTTTTAGTGATATAAATTTCATTGAACCCCAACGTTGTATTGTAAAAAAAATTGAAAAAGATTTTGGAAAAATTTGCTTAACTTTGACTTCCTGTAAAAGTTATGAGGAAGATGTATGTTATCTCAGTGGTATTTGGTAAATATTTCAATTTTTTATTACCTACTCAAGTATTAATTTTGTGTGTCTTCTTGATATTTATTAAGTTTTGTATTTAATTAAATGTATGCATATTGTTTAGGCTTCATAGTTTATTTGAAAAAGGAGATATAGTAACTGTAATGGCAAAAAAATTAAATGGTAACTGGTCAGTAAATAATGATCATGGTTTTGTTACCAGACACTCAGACTTTTTGGTGTCTGGCACAACAATTGTTGGATCATTATTTTGTTCACGGCGTTCAATTCTTGCAGATATTTATAAAGGACTTGACTGTTCCTCTGCTGTTATGGTTATTGGAACACTTCTCCATGAATTGCTTCAAACGGTAAATAAAAAAAAAAAATAAATTATTAAGCCTTGTATTTTATCAAATTCATTGTTTTTAGGTTTTAAGAAGAAAACAGTTTAATCATAAGGATATCAAAGCTATAGTAGATGAAATGATTAACAGTCCAGGTTTTGTGCATACTTTATATGAATCTGATATGAGTTTTGAAACTACTAAAAAGGAGCTAATGGATTTCATACCAAAAATTCAAGCCTTTATTAAAACTTATTTGGTTGGTTATAAAATGTAAGTTATACTTGAATTATATTCATCAATATCAATATTAATGTATCTACAATAAAATGGCTATGTATTAAAATAAGTTCTATTTAAGTGATATTTTTTTATACAATTGTTTTAAAACTTGTATTTATTTTATAAATATTGATTCTTTAATGCATTTTAAAAACCATAAATTATATTAACTAATAATCTATACTATGTAAAAACAAATTTAATTAGAGGAAAAGAAAAAAAGACTTGGCAAGGCGAAATAGTATCAATTGAAGATATAGAAGATAATTTATGGGTACCAGCATTTGGTGTTAAAGGTAAAGTAGATATTACTGTTCGAGCTAATTATGATGGTCTATCCAAAATAATGCCTATTGAATTGAAAACTGGCCGAGCTTCTGGAAGTGAGGAACATCGTGGCCAGGTATTATTGTATACAATGATGATGAATGAACTGGGTATGGATGTAGATTCAGGATTACTATTATATCTCAGGTAAATTTATACTGTAAGTTATCATCCTATAATTAATTAATTATCAATACATGTTTTATGGTTATAGAGAAAATGTATTGACTCAAGTTAAAGTTAGTCATAGAGAAAAACGAGATTTGATAATGCTAAGGAATCGACTTGTACACTATTTAAACGCAAATAAAATGGTTTCAAATCCTATTGATGATTATTTTCCAACATTACCTGAACCCATAAACCATCACAACGCATGCTCAAAATGCCCATATTTAACAGCATGTAGTGCTGTTTTGAGGTAAAATTATAATTTTTTTATATGATTATTTATATTATTATTTATTATAATTTATATTATATTATATTTCATTTTATTGTCCACATATTTACAAAAAAAACTCAAATTATAGCAAAGAAGGTTTTGAAAAATTAGATCATCATAATCTATTAAAAAAATTAGGGCCTCAAGCTATTAGTCATTTGAAATCTGAACATATTAATTATGTTATGGAGTGGACTGCTTTTTTAATTTTGGAGAATTCAATTGAAAACACTAAAGATAATTTATGTGCAAAATCTAGTGATTTATGGACTTTGTCATTTTTTGAGCGGTTAGTAAAAAATTCAGGGGTCGGAAGTTTTAGCACTAAAAATGTACATGTCTAACACTTTAATATGCATTTAAAAAAATTAAAAAAGCACTTACAAATTAATAAACCTACAAAATAAAATTGTCAAGTAATTTTTTTTAATTTAAAAAAGTTATATATTTTTTCTTATAGAATATGGTACGTAAATACGACAAATTTAATAATTACAGTATAATGCTTTTGAAATTATTTTAAAACAACCAAACTATTGAAAATTAATGGATTAAATTATCTGATGTGATCAGAAATTACAATCAATAAATTACTTTGTAATTCAAAATAGATGTTTTCATTTGCATGTTTATGTACTTTGTTAGAGTTATATTATTTATTTCCTCAATTGTAAAAATATGTCTACAACTAGCACTTAAAACTCTAAAATTCTAAAATTCTAAATTATTAAATAGTACTAGTAATGTTAATATGCAAAAATTAGCTAAATAAAATTTCTCATTTAACATCAGGGAAGTGTAAAATAAATTTGTATCTTATTTTTGATATTCTATG